TTTTAATTTTTTTGAGGAACCACCATACTGCTTTCCGTGGTGCTGAGCCACTGTACATTCTCACCAACAGTCTGTGCACAGTGTTCCCATTTCTCCACACCCTCACCAGTACTTGTTATTTTCTGATTTTTGATAGAAGCCCTTCTAATTAGTGTAATAATACAGATAATCTTTTAATATAACTAATTTTTCCTAAATTAATCCTTGTTCATCTGAAATTCAAATATTCCTAGGCATCCTGTATTACATTTGGTGACCATGGCAGAACGTGGGGTACCATTCTGATCCTGCTATCATATTAATGGGATGTTAGCAGATTTGAGGTGACAGGTTTAGAGGAGTACATCCTCTGGGGCTTCCCCTCCTCAGAACCATGGGGACCTCTAGGGATGACCAGATAAGGATTAAAAGCAAATGGAGCACAGCCAGAAGGACCCCTATATCAGCCAGTGGCCAATCCAGCCCCACATGCAGAGTGCAGCCAAGACAAACAGCCCACGCAGCCTGCCACCCACATGGTGGGCATGAGGTTGTGTGTTTGTGTTCTGCGGCATTAGCTGATATACGAGGAAAACTCAGGGAAGGCCAGAAGAAAGGGTTCTAGCCACTGGCAGAAAGACAAACTAGTGGTATATTCATATAATGAAATTTTTTGCAAGCAGTTGGAACGAACAAACAAGAGCTATAAGCATCATCATAAATAAATCTTAAAAACACTTTGGGCAAGCAGAACAACTCGAAGTTTTACCATTTCAAATGAGAGCACAAACATGCAGTAAAAGTCTGAGCGCACACATCAGCAGGAGCCCCCTGGCAACAACTTCCTGAGCAGGATTTATCACCCCTGGGGATGCGGGTTCCCAGATTTGCAGGGTAATGACTATGTTCTGGCGCAGGCAGGCATAGACACTCAGAAGATGCTGCTTTTATCATTAAAAGGATATGTGAAACAAAAATTATGAATCTGAGATGTAAGCATTGACATGAAAAATCTATTTATTGCCTTTACATCAGTAAACATTTAAATATTTATCAAAAATGTGTATTTTTATGACAACCCAGATTTTTCTGACATGAAAAACTAATAGTCAACTAATTTACTTGCTACATATATAGAAGTAAAGCATGTTCTAAGATATATATGTTTGTGTGTATGTGTGTATGTGTGTGTGTGTGTGTGTGTGTATATATATATATATATATATATATATATATATATTCCCAAAACCATGGAGTACTTTAAATAACATGTGAAATGCAACTTTTCATACCACAAGCTCCCTTTCCTATTTTTTTTTTTTATTCTTTGGACCTAAGTTTGTCCTATTTTAGAAATATCATTTGTCCAAAAATGGGCCAGGAAAATGATCTAATACTGGAAAGATTCTGGCAAAAAATTTAGAAAGTCCCCCATACACACCCCCCCCCCAAAAAAAGAAAGAAAAGCAGGGGACCTATGTCCATAGAAATTCAGTAGTTGTGAATTCCACATTTATAAGATAATTATTTTTTAAACTCACCTCCCTTCTGTGAGAAATGAGTCCAAATCCTGGTGCTCAGGAGCCCAGCGGCTTTGCCCAGCAGCCTGGCTGGGGTAGGAGCTTGAGGAGTCTGCCCAGCTGTTTTGGTGGTTTCTGGTGGTGGGTCTGGCAGTCCCCAGCCTCCCAGGGCCCGCACAAGTTGGAGCAGATGTCTGATGTAGCTCCACCTCCAGTGCACCAGAAGCCAGCCTGCCATCTTTGTTCTCTAGATGCATGTTCTGTTGCCAGTCTTCTCTCTAGRATCAACCAGAAAGAAACTACTGTTGATGAAAAGTAGACTGGGAATATTGCATCTTGGGAAATCCGAACTACTGGATGGTACAATAGGAAGGTCACTTATAAAGAGGTCCTTCCAGTGTTCCACCATTTTAATATCACACAGAAAACAGTGTATGCTTTCTCCAAGGATAAACAGTTCAGTACATTTCATACTAGCAATGTTCAACAAGAAAGCATTAGGTTAAGTGAATATTCAACAACAGAGTTTTAGGTAAGTAAATTGTGAGATGTTCACGGTATAAAATACTGTGCAACCATAAAAATGATCTAAAGGGATATTTATTGATATTGGGAAATATTATGGATATGAAAATAACAACTGGCACACTGTGATATTTTTGTTTAAGTAAATACATATTAGTTACATGTATAGAACAGAAAACCAAAAAGACACACCCTCCAAAACATAGCCACCTCTGGATGGTGAAGGTACAGATGAYTGGGGGTTTTTTCTTTGTCTATGCTCTGGTTTTTACACTTTTTGCATCTAGCAAATTAATATCTTTGAAATAATAATACCTGTTATAAGAATAAGAAAATGTACTAGGAAGGTTATGGTGTCCTACTTTCAAGCATTACTATTTTATTTTATTTATTTTATTATATATTTTACATTTTCCAGCCTCCCATAACCCAGCAAGGACCTTTGGTTTTGCAGCAGCCTGGTTCACTAACAAGCATTTTTGTTCTGAAGCCAAGGATCACTGTGCACTTTGATTGAATAGGATTTATACCATTGAGAAACAAAGGAATGTGCTGGGGTTAGGGTTAGCACAACACACACATCCATCACTCCCTGTTGACTTATTTGTACACAACATTCGCAATACCCCATAAGCACAGGATTCCCATGGATCCAAGACTGGTGGGCATTCAGCAAGACTCAAAGGAAATACAGGTAATGTATGTGATGTCTACAGTTGAGTAGGCTGGTGCTACAGTTAGATCTAGAATGTCCCACAAAGGCCCATGTATGTTAAAGGCTTGGTCCCCAGTCCATGGTGCTATTGGTAGATGGTAGAACATGTAAGAGGTGAGGCCTCAAAGAAGGGATGGGACCCAACCCCGTCTCTTTCCCTTTCTGGCCATGAGGTGAGCCGTTTTTCTCTGCCATATGCTCTGACCATGATGTACTACCCCAGACCCAAAGCAACAGGGCCAAATGATCATGGACTGAAACTTCTGAAACTTTGAGCCAAAATAAATCTTTTCTCATGGTAAGTTGATTATCTCAGGTACAAGCTATAGTGACAGAAAGCAATCAATGCACACAGAGCACTAACAGCCAAGAGGCCACACTTTCTAATAGAGCCAGAACTTATTTCAAATACAAAGACATTGGCACTGAAAGAAACCCAACTGAGCAGAGAAAACTACATCCTTCTTACTGTTGCTATTTCCCTGCTTTAACCAATCACATGCTGAAAATAGCTTACAAATCAGTAAGTCAATGGCACACAGTGGTAGAATGTACTTGTGTCAATCGTGAAATAAAAGCAATTGAATTAGATTTATGCAATGCTTCCACCATCTGGTAAGAGCGAAATACATATACACATACAAGCTCAAAAGACAAATCGTGTGATCTTATTGATTCCACATATGAGTTAATTGCTCCGATATTTGCATTTAAAACTGAAATTGTGGGCTGGGGATGTGGCTCAAGCGGTAGCGAGCTAGTCTGGCATGYGTGYGGCCCGGGTTCGATCCTCAGCACCACATACAAACAAAGATGCTGTGTCCGCCAAAAACTGAAAGATAAATATAAAAAAAAAAATCTCTCTCTCTCTCTCTTCATTTAAAAAAAACTGAGGGCTAGGGATATAGCTCAGTTGGTACAGTGCTTGCCTAGCATGCACAAGACCCTGGGTTCAATCCCCAGCACCACAAAAAAAAAAAAAAAAAAAAAAAAAAAAAAACCTGAAATTGTACAATGTGAGGATGACAACTTCAAGGTCAGGAACAAAGTAAAGATGTCCCCTTACCACCCTTATTCAACATAGTACAGAAAATTCTAACCAGATAATATTAATATAATTCTAATTTTGTAGACATTGTTTTAAATTTTATAATTTAACCTATTCACTACTTCCATCTTTCTGTGTGAAACATTATATAATGTGAATTTCATGGAAATCTAGATTAAAATACATAAACCTTCTCATTAACCTTTAAATTTTGTATCATGTGCAATGTGATTCCTGCATCTTCAAAATATTTGCTGAATAACTGAAATTTTGTTTTTGTTATTGGCCATAACGTTTAGGGAAAAAAATCTCTTTGATAATGTGATTAGGGGAAATCACCAGTTGCTTTTTCTTTCTTAAATGCAGACTTAATAGACACCTATTTATATATAGTTAGAGTAACTGTGATGTCACTGTATACCACAAAAATGTGATTTATAACTATTGCCATAAAGTCACAGTAATGGTAAGATTTAAAAAAAAAATAGGGCAATGGGGCATGAAAAGAAAATAAAGACACACTCATGAGAAAATAAGAAATAAAACTGTCCTGATTCACTGACAGCATGATTTTCTGCATTAAAAATAAAAAAGATTCTACTGAAAAAAAAATTAGTGAGTTCATCAAGGTCATAGGACACAAAGTAAATATTTAAAATTCTGTAATACTTCTACTTACTATCAATGAATATGTTGACACCTAAATGAAAAATACAACATCATTACAACTGCTCAAAAACAATTAAATATTTACATAAGCATCTAATAAAGCATGTATATGACTCATGCCAAAAACTCCACAACACTGATGAAAGAAATCAAAGAAGATCTGAATAAACTGAGAGGCACCCCATTCATGAAGAACGATGTCAGCTCTTCTTAATTGAAATACAGATTTAAAGCAGCACCAATCAAAACTCCAACAAGAGGTTTTCAAATATAAACAAGCTTATTCTAAAATTTATTTTTCATATAGGAAAATAGCAAAAGGTCTAGAATGTCTAAAATATTTAGGAAAAAGAAGAATAAAATGAAAGGAAGCAGTCCATCCAATTACAAGATTTACTTAAGGGCTACAGTCACCAAGACCAGTGATAGGACACGACATGTGTTGTAATTTTTATTGTTAGGGTTTCCATTTTTTTAGGTCTTTCTCTGGAGGATGGCCTTAAGACAAGGTAGATTTGGGTGGGTAGGTCAGATGAGACAGGAAAACCAAAAAGCAGATGATCAAAATGTAAAAATTATTACTCGCAGGTTCAAAAGAGTTAGGAGTGCTGGAGGTCTACGGCAAATCTAGAAATGGGGGGGGCGGGGCGTGGGACCGTACTTTTGGTCACACTTGGGTATCATGCCTCAGGCATTGCCTTGGGGGCTGTTGATTAGCTAATTTAAAGAAAACTGGGTTTGTGGTTAGTGAGATGAGGAGCAAGCAGGCTGTACTGCAAACTCCCAAACAAGAAGGGGAAGTTTTAGCAAGGATAAAGGTACAAGTGGGTTTCCAACAACTCAAYTTCATGGCCTAAAAGTTGAATCTGAGGCAGCAACTATCTTAGATAAGCTTATGACAACACAGATTAATGAATTCAAACAAAAGACCCAGAAATAGAGGCCCCCCACATATGCCAAACTGATTTTTTTACAAAAGTGCAAAAACACCTCAGTGTTAGAAAATCTGTTCAACAAATGGTGCTGGAGTCACTGGACATTCCATAGACAGAAAAAAACAAGCTTCAGCTAGGTCTCACATCTCAGGCAAAAATTAACTCAAAATGGGTCACAGGCAAAAATATAAAAGATTAAACTACAAAATTTTTAGAAATAAATAAATATTCAAGATCTTAAGAGTCTCAAGCTTGACACTAAAAGCACAATCCAAAAAAGGGAATTTTTAGAAATTGGACTTCACCAAAATTAAAATATTTTGCTCTGTAAAAGACTTGATTAGGAAGACAAAAAGACAAGCTACAGGCTGGGAGAAAATATCTGCCAATAACATACCCAGCAAAGTACAAATATACCAAATATATAAATAGCTTGTAAAATTCAATGGTCAAAATAATTAGAAAATGAGCAAAGACATAAAGAGACATTTCTCTGAGGAAGATATATTAGATRACAAATAAGCATGTGCAAACATTCTACATCATGAACCTCTATAGGGAAATGTAAAAAAAATGAAAGAAAGAGAATAGTAGGCAATTATTATATGTTATGTTCAGTTTATAGAAGTATTGGAGTATGCTCTGATTTTTTTTTGATAACACACCCTGAATAATCAGAATAAATTGTCATGATGTTGGCATTGTGTTAAAAAAAAAAAACTAACTGAGTTATCACTGTGCATCTATCAGAAGGGCTGAGATACAGACACCAGCAAATGCTGACCAGGATGCCAAAAGACCAATCAGTCAAACATTACCAATGGGAATGTCAAGTGATGCAACCACTCGGGTAAGCAGTTTGGCAGTTTCTTAAAAAGTAAAATTGTAGGACCATGTCAATGTCAATATTTTAGAAGATGGCACATTAGAAGCATCCAGGCAGTTATTCATCCGACAGAAGATTAATATCCTGAACATATAAAGATCTCAATAAATTTAATACCAATAGAACAAGTATTCCAGCCAACAAATGGGCAAATGAGTTCAACAGACACTTCTCAAAAGAAGAATGATGTCAGTCATTTCCAAGCAAATAGATGGAACTGGAGATCATCATGTGAAGAAAGGGAGACTCAGAAAGATAAGAATTTCATGTTTTCTCTCATAGTTAGTTGGAATCTAGAGAAAGAGAAAAAAAGGCAACATGAATGTAGTAGGGGGACTATTCTGGAAGGAGAAGGAGGCGGATAAAAGAGGGTATTAGGGAGGGTGGATACTTTCAAAGCACATTATATGCGTGTATGGAAATTTCACAATGAAACTCATTATTTTGTACAATTAACATGTGCTGATAATTATAATTAA